AACTACTTTTGTTTTGTTAAAAAGTTTTCTACATTTTCAGATTGTTCATCACCTATCAGACCGTACCAGTAAATTTTGTGTGGATCATTTTTGAAAAATGAGGCAGTTTAGAACACCAAATAAATGTTGTTCTTGATTTATGTAACAAAATTTTTTTATAACTTTGCAACTAGATATCCAGTTACTTCATGAAACAGATACAGCCATAAAGCCGAAGGGAAACAAAAGACAAAATTATATTAGAGTAAGTGTGAGTTGAGTAAGTTTCGAAACAATTGAATAGGTGCCTAAGGTAAAAGCAAATAACTTAGTGGAAGAAATGGTAGTAATTAATCATGTCTATCCCCGGCAGTAAAAGAAATACAGGCCCGATTAAACTCACTTTTATAGAGCTATATAAGGTTTGCAATGAGGACAAGTGATATTCAGTAAATAAAATAGAAAAAGAATCAATACTCAGTCACATATCTTGGAGACTGGACTGTTAAAACATTTATTAAATTTTGATGCTAAAATAATTTTTTTTATTACAATAACAAAATATTGTTATTGTATTATGAAGATGAATTGCAATACAATATTTATTGTTATTGTATTACAGTATTAGAATAGTTGTAAATCAAAAGTATTGTTATTGTTTCTAAATTAAGTTAATACAATAACAATAGTTATTGTTATTGTTGCAACTACAATTATAATAGCCCTAACCCTAGTTTTGGGTAACGGTAAAAGTCAATAACTTAAAAGCTCATTTTTTAATTACAAGTATTCAAATATATGTTGTATTTGCTTCTAAAAATTCAGCACTTTCTCTTATTTCAATCAACTTTTATAACTGCATGAAAATGCTACGTCCAAACATTAAAAATTTAGAAAATGATACAAAAAGTCAAAGTTTCATGAAACTTCAAACCTTTACAAGTAAACCAATTTCAATCATGGTTTGAAAATTTCAAGTTTTACTTATAAAACAATTTGGAAACTCCCTATCAATTTTATATGAAGATTTAGGAACTCAACTGTTGTAACTTTTTAAATTTCGAATATTTTTTCTTTTTTTTTTACTGTTTAATTTGTTTTTACTTGCTTTATTTATTTGTTTATTCATTTTGTTTGTCGACTATTTTTTTTTACTGCTAAACCAAAATACTTGAATAAAAGTAAAAAAGGTAAAGTCTGTTGAAAGTACTTTTAAGTTACGAAGTAAAAACTATTTTTTGGGTCACAAAAGTGAATATAATCAACGCTAACATACGAGAAATAAGTTTTTAAATCATATTGGAATAAAAATTATCATATATTCAATCCACAAATCAATCATATGTTTATTGAAACAGACTAACAGGTTTACACTAGATTTCGAGGGTTTATAAATTTGCTTGATTTTTTTGGCAATTATATTTGGTTTGTTTTATAAAGGACCCAATAATACGCGGGGCCGTATTTATTATCATGTGTATCATGGCATCTTTAAACGCCGGGCCGTATTTGGTAACATGTGTATCATGGCATATTTTAATCTCCTTGTAATAGGAATTGTTTTTTAAAATGCTAACCAGTCTAGTGCAATTTAAAATGTTCACCAGTCTAGTGCAATTTAGAATGAATTTAGTTTTCTCATTTCTTTGTTTATTTAGGTTGTATATATTGTGTATTCACTATGCAGCTTTACATCTTGATGGAATCTAAAGTCAAGTAATACCAGTTTTAGTTTCATGGTATTGTGAGTACTATACAGTTCATTCAAACCGATAAAATTTAAGTACTTTTGTACTTTTTCAACTTAAGTAAAAAAACTTAACATAAAGTAAACCTGAAAAGTTAAAAAATTAAAATAAAAATACATTGCAGTGAAAGTATCTAATTATGTGTAAAAAAGACTGCAAAAATTAACAAAGTGTTATAACAAAGTAAACGTACATTGTTATACCCCAACCCTGTTGATTAGACAATAAATTCACAAATAAAAATTAAGGAAATACGGTTACACAAATTTAAAACACATACTCTATTTGCGGTCTCCTTTAAAAAAAAAAAGTCAATATGCTTCTGAACTAGTTTGTAGTCAGATGTGACTTAACTATTACCTTTGTGTCTTTGGCAAATAAATGCTTATAAAGTGACAAACTAGGCTAATCACGTTGTTGATAAAGATTAGAAGCTCTAGAAAGAATCTTTTGGAACTCCACTGAGAACCTTTAAACAATCACCTTGTTTGACTCTTTGAATGTTACCTGTTTCATGACCAGCAATAGCCTCCATAGTGTGCGATTCAGCTACAGATTCTTATTTAAAATAATCTTGTTGTAAAACTTAGAAAAATTGTGAAAATGTAATGACAAAATATATGCTATTGTAAAATAATTTATACTAGTTTAAAATAATTTATGTTAATTTAAAATAATTTTGATAACCTAGACTAGGTTCGTCATGTATCTTCCAGGAACAAGTAAAAAAGTTACTAAATAAGTGTTTCATTACCTTGCAGGAAACAGTGGTGAAATAAATAGCAGCAGGTTTCTATGGTTGTTTGTATTTTTTTTGTTAATCAACTTTTTTTTTTAATTTTTGTGACGTTGGATTGCTTCTTGTTAGCAGCGACAGCACCGGTAGTGAAAAATATTATGCAGCTCACCAAGAAGAGTAGAGCGCTGTTTGGGACTTCTGAGAAATGTATGGATCCATCAATGGTTGGTTGTTATTGTTTGTTAACTTGAAAGACTGACAACTTGACAGGGGTCTATTAGAAGTTATATTCAATTATGCCAACAATCACATTGTTGGATTAATGAAGAACAGATTACGGAAGAAATCAATACACAGGTTAGAAATATTTTTTCAACAAGTTGCATGTCTCATTTTTATTGAATATTTGTTAAACATCGTTGTTGTAAATTTGTTAAATTTAAAAATTGCTTGTCATCTTGTGGTGCTGCGTGATGGTAGATAGAAGTAGCCTGTTTTTTTGCGTCGTTAGCTTAACATTTTTGTTTAACCTTTTTCGATCAAGTTTGAGCGGGAAAAAGTTATAACAAACTAGAATAAAAATTGATACGACGGTAACAAATGCTTCTAATAGATGAGAAAAGCGCTAATTAACTGTAGTTTTAGCAAATTCCAGAAGTCATATTAAAATAGCACATCATGTTTTTCAGTTTATTTAATACCAAGATTTCTGCAGCTTTTGTTGAAACTGTCCAAATTGTTGTCCTAGGTTATAAAACTTTTTGTGGTTTCAGGAGGGAAATCAACTTTTATCATTGTAGATGTATGGTTTATCATTTGCTAGCACTGTTATATAATTCTAAATATTGGTTTCAGAATAAATTAAGTGAGGAGACAAACCTTAAAAAGTTTTAAGAAATATTTCTGTTTGTAGATTAGTATATGTAGAGTAGCCACATGTTGATTTGTTTCCAGGGAAACTGAAGTTGAATACAAAAAATTTAATGAGTATACTTTACGTAACCAAAATAGCTTCTTGGCAAACCAACTTGTTGTTTTTTTTAATATATTTTTAGCGTTATTGATTTGAGACTTAAATAAATGCATTATTAAAAAGATACGTTAAGAACCAATATTGATTTTAACCCTTACTTGCTACTAATTTAAAAAAGAGTTTTGACTGTTGAATTATTGTAATTTGAGAGCTTATGTTCACATCAAATCTCCTTGGAAAAACTTACGCAAACGAATAAAGAGTGGCAGAAGTTTTTAATCAAAACTAATTTTTATGAGTTAAAACAAGTTTCACAGAAACAAAGCACATCAGCATAGTTTTTCTGTATAGATTGAAAGTTAAGGGGTCAATTTTTTTTTATAAGCAAGTTCAGGTTTGTGTAAAGAAATTTGAGTTGTATATAATATATATATATAATTTAAAAAAAGTTTTCAGCATAAAATATAGAACTTAAGGTGGCTGGTAAGTTTGTATGTAGGTGTTGGATTGAAGAATTAGATGGAAACCCTTCGCTTGGAAAATTTGCGGGTAGCCTACTTGTTAAGCTGAAGGGTGCTTTTTTTGAAAAAATAATTTTTTAATTTTCAAAGTTTCCAAAATAAGTAAAATGTTTTGCTATGGACAGTAGGTTGTTACAAGGTATTGTTGAATTTAGTTTGTCAAAGAGCAGTGCCAAAGTTAAAGTTTAACCTTAAAAATAACTTGAAAGCATTCGGAAAAAAAGTGACATAAAAGTTCTAAAAACATTCTGTGAACTGATGTTTCTGTGGATTAATGTTTCTGCAGATTGATATTTTATGAAAGCACTTGATTGGTCAATTTAAATCAAAACTTTTTAATTAAACTGTCGTTTTATGAGTCATGAAAAACCAGCTCAAGTTAAGATAACTCAATATGTTAGTTTGAGCATCTTTTTTCTGCTAAGTTACCTTAAACCAATTAAAACTAAGTTAACTTAAAATTAAGTTAACTTAAACTAATCAGTTTAAAACAAGTTAAATTAAACTAACTATATAAAACAAAATAACTAAATATTTTTAAGTACATCTTTGAAACCATTACTGAAATATTTAAAAAGTGCCAAGTTGTCAAACCTAATTTTTTTTAAAAAAAAAAATCAAATAAATATTAGCTTTTGCCATAAATTAAAATAGGTAATTTATAACTTATAAAGTAGGTAATTTATACTAATTTTTATAATTTATACAATCTTTTTACAAAAAACATTAGCAAAAAATTTGCGCTTATTTAAAACTTGAATTACTAGTTTCCATATCTCTAGCAAACTAATTTTGTTAATAAAGTTATAAAATCATTAAGTGTTAAAACTTTGATGCGACATTAGAAGAAAACAAAGAAAAAGATTATTTTTATATCTTCGCAGATTCATTAGAATTTAACAGAACAAGTTAAAGAAGGAAAAGGTTATAAGCTATCAGTTCATAATTTTAAAATACAAATCTGTACTATTCGATTTTATTGTTAGAAAATAAGTTGTAAACCTGAATTAATGTTTGTAATAATATAATAATTTTTTCAGGTATTGCACTCTCTTACGCAGAAGCATCAATAGTAGCACCATTTACATCAAAAATATTCAATATTACGTGTGTTCCAACGCTAATTATGGAAGGACGCGCAGCACTTGTAACATCATTTGCAACATTTAAGTATATGATACTCTACAGCATGGTTCAATTCTTTGGTGTCATAATTCTTTATACCGTTCAATCAAATTATTCCAACAATCAGTTTATATACGTAGATTTAGGATTAAATATTCCACTTGTGCTTGCAATGACTTTATCTAAAGCAAGTAACAAACTATCTTTAAAAAGACCAAGGGGTAGACTTCTTCATCCTATTTTTATTAGTGGAATCATTTTACAGATATTGCTTATTATAGGAACCCAGCTGACTGCTTTTTATTCCATTAAAGAAATGAGTTGGTACGTCCCGGTAACAAAATTTAACATCAACAAAGATAATACTTGTTTTGAAAACAGTGTAGTCGTTATCGTTTCGTTCTATTTGACTATATGGACATCATTAATTTGTTTTAAAGGTCCCCCATATCGATCACCTATTTATCAAAACTACGTATACGGAACTTTAATTATAGTTTTAATAGCTATAACTCTTTACATAACTATAAAACCGGCTCAAGGATTGTTGAACCTATTTAGTTTGATTGATCCGCCAAATCTTAAACATTCTATTCTAGTGATTGGAATACCTTTGAGTCATTTAGTTATATCCCTTCTTTTAGAACATTTGCTGGAAGCAAAATATACAAAAATATTCACGAACTGGATAAGAAGGAAAAAATCACCGAAAAATTTATACAAACATATTTTAACAGAAATGCAAAATCAAGATTGGCCTCCACAAGAGTAATTTTAAGCATTATCGAATATTTTTTTTATATTTATCATCTTTATATACCATATTTCTATATCTTATTCTATTTATATATCTATGCATATCAATTTTAATTATTGGATTTTAATTTTCAGTTTTCTTATTGTTTTATATAACTGTTTTTGAATTTTTTTTTTTTTTAATAGAGAATCAAATTTAGACTTGTGCTCAAAACACTTTTTGCTTTTTTATTATTTTGAAAAAGACCACAAATATTTTAGAACCAATTTGGTTTGGTAATGCTCGGTTGATGGCTGAACTGCAACATTTTCCCTAAAATTATTGACTTGTTAACTTCACTTTGTGCTTTTGCAAAACTTCCGAAAAAAAAAACACTTCTGAAATATGTGTTTTAAAAACAAAAGCATTTGATAGATATCTTTAAAATATTTAGGTTTGTTCACCAATTGTATATAATTGCAATAATAAAAATAACTTTATCTGCTTATTGTTTTTATATAAATTTTTATCTTTTCATTATATTGTGTTGCATTTTTGTAATATGTTAAAATTTATTTTATTTTAAAATAATAATGATAAAAAACCTTAATCACTTTCAAAACTGTGCATATAAAGTATAAATATACTAAATAAAATACATGAAACAAAAGAAATAAAAACAAAAAAATTATATTTTGTGTTGAAAATATGACTTCTATTAACTTCCGTTTAAAAGAAGTAAAAGTCCATTTCAAAGACAAAGCAAAATTAGGCAAAACTATTTTATTCCGTAAATAAGGGCAATAATTTAGTTTAACAGAAAGGTTTTTGGAGATTTCTTTCATAAGGTAGATTATATTTGTTTTGTGTTTGTTTTTTTGTTTTTTTGTTTTCTTCTTTTTTTAAATACATATATATTTTAAAATTACAATGTTACAAGGAGCCATTTCAAATGTACAGATTAATGGTATAGATATATAAAAAAATAGTATCGTAAGTGTAAAGTTTAAAATATACATAGTATTCAAGAAACAGTTGTATACAATTTTGATAAAAAAATAATATAATGCTAACATATATGAACTATATTTTAAAATCGTATTAAAGCTTTTGAATATTTTGCCGAATATCAAAAAAGTAGATTTGAAAAAAACTGAAATAAAAATATATTTTTGTCACTTAAAACCTTTTAATGTTTTTTTTTAAAGGAGGTTTACGATTCATTTTAAAACATTTATTTTTTATATAACATTATTACCTTAATTTGTTTTTCAATTTTTTTGTATTTAAATTTGACAGCATTTTTAATGACAAGTTTTGAGGGCTATATTATTCACGAATTATTATTGGCTTGGCAATAAGACTATTTTTGTGTTCTTCTTGCCCCCACCATTTGCATATTTTACAAATACGAAAGTTGTAATTATTTATAATAATAATAAATTTATAATAATAATAATAAATTTCTTAATATAATGCATTTAAAATTACACATTTTTTAAAATTGTCTAATATAAGTTTTAACAAAAAAAATAAAGTTGAAGTCACAACATTTAATAGGAGTAATTTCAATCAAATTATTTGATAAGACCTAAGCTCAATTTAATCCCTTATCAGAGGCAATTCTACAAATAAAATGAGAGGGGGTGAATCCTTATAAAGTACCGACTGGTTCCTAAAGAAAAAAAAATCCCTAAAACTAATATTTACCCGACTTAATTGTGTAAAATACCAGCTTTTTTGAGGGGATGAGGAGAGGGGGGGGGGGATAGATTACTTCCGCGTAAAATTACCTCTGTCTCTAATCTAACTAAAATAATATATTTTCCGAATAAAAAATAAATCTTTACGGCAGTTTTTAAAGTGCGGAAAGTTCTATCTTTTAAGAATTATTCTTGTTACTATTAGTATTTTTTTACGTACCTAAGAATTCTAATTGTTGTTGTTGCTGGGAAAAGTATAGCGAAAGATCTAAATCATTAATAATTATAAATAAAAACTTAGAGGAACAAATTCAGCTGTTAATCTTTCGAAATATTCAATGAACAACAAATGCTATCAAACAGTTGTCCTGGATGAAAAAGAAGTCTTTATAGACTAATAAAGGGAGGCTTGCGTCGTGGAGAATATGGTCTAAAGTAGTCAAGGTATTTTTAATGATTTTTATCATTCTTACTTTCTTTTGTTTACATAAGAAAGTTCCTTTAACTAGGTAGAGCGGAAAATTCTTTTGAGGAACTTTTCCAGTGTCAGAGTCGTTCTTCAAGATGACACAACTAATTAATTTAAATCTGAACCGAGTTTATTTTCTTTTTGCTATACATATCTTGCATCTGGTGCTTAAAAGTGTACACTCACCAGTGTAGTGGCTAATTTTATTTCATAAGTATTTCTACTAGGTTCCCCTCAAGGTAAAAAAAAAGTTTTAGTTATTAAAAATATTTTTTTAATTATAAAGTCGAAAAGTGTTTAAGCAGGTAAAAAGTTATACTTTAGGGCAAATAACACTTAAGTTGCATTTGGAACCATAAAAAGTAAAGTGGCTGCTGAAAATTTGATTAATATATCTATTTTTTGTTTATCTACCGGGATAAATCCTCTAAAAGTCACAATTGGCACACCAAATGAAAGAGCAGAAAGAAATTTTATTAAGCAGCTTTCTCGGGAAATAGTTAAGCAATTACATGTAGTGTCAAATAGAAAACTTGTGCCGTAAAATATAAAATGAAAATAGATGGTTGCTACTCAACGCAAAGATTTAGAAAGTAAACTTTTTATTGAGTCTCATATTAATAGTCGCCTTTCTGAGTTAGAAGATTATATCTTCAATTACTACAACGTGCAGAAGTGTGAGTTTCTTGACAGTATAGGCAGTGTAATTTCAAGAGATCTTGCATCCCAGCAAACAATAGACGTCTTTTAGACCGTCTAAAATTGGTCTAATTTGTATCTATTGCCGATGCGTATGTTTTAGACGTATATTAGAGATCGAAAAGACGTCTAATTCTAGAGATACTGTTTTTGCTCTGTATTATATGCATATTAGATGCATAAAATAGATCGTGCATAGATAATTTTTTTTATCTAAACTTAGATGCCTATAAGATGTCTTTTATAGATTTGTTTTAAAAACAAGAAAAAAATTTTAACTAATTTTACGGAGCGATAATTATAAATGACCGCCATTAAAAACCCTGTGGAAACTTATTTCAAAAAAAGTATGAAGATTTTAACCTATTGAAGACATCAATATTTATTTCTTTTGATAAATTTTAAATAATAAAATAACATGCTATTATAGTTCACAAAATATTTCGATGATTTGATGCTTAGCATGTTTGCTAAAATCCTTGTGATTTAAAATTTATTTTGCAGAAATATTACAAAATTAATATTTTCAAGTTGATATTTTTATTTCTAGAATAAAAGATAATGTAATTAATATATATATATATATATATATATATATATATATATATATATATATATATATATATATATATATATATATATATATATATATATATATACATATATATATATATATATATATATATATATATATATATATATATATATATATATATATATATATATATATATATATATATATATATATATATATATATATTGTTGTTTATTATTGTATCTGGTTGAGATACAAATCCTCTTGTTTACTTAAGAGTGATCAATATAATGTAAAAATAATTTTTATAAAATAGATCAATATATATATATATATATATATATATATATATATATATATATATATATATATATATATATATATATATATATATATATATATATATATATATATATATATATATAAATAAAGAGTAATTAAATAGAAAAATACAACTTTATAATGGAACTAAAAGTTTCATGCCTATCGGCAATCTTCAGCCATATATATTATACAAATCAAGAAAAAACCGTTAAAAAATACAAAATACAAAAAAAGCAGTAGAATGAGTTCCGACGTCAAAACAAAAAGAATAAAAAAACGAATAAAAAAGAAGCATAGTTGTAAAACTGCTAATCACCAGTGTCAAATTGGGCAAGAAGAAATTTGTTTTTATGCCGGCACTTAGATAATATTTCACTCTTTTTATTTAACAAATTTGGGTGTTTGAAAAATAAAATTTCGTACTTTTCGTTTAAGCATAATTTACATCGTTTTGTTACAGGGTTATAGGCATCGCACTGTTTAATTATTTTCCACCTAACAACCGGGTTTAAGTTTTCATCTTTTAATCTCCAAACCTCCTTTGATAATTCAGTGTCATTTTTGTATTTGGGAATTTTAAAAGATTTAATGTGATTAGCATATCTAATTTTAAAAAATGTTTCGCTTATGCCAATGTAAAATTTATTGATGGGAGATTGAACAAGATTGTTTGAGCATACATTAGCTTGATATACTATATTTTTTGTTAAGCATTGGTTTGATAAAGGGCAGGTGTTTTTATCTATGCAATTGCAATTATTTTCAGCTGATTCTTTCTTGTTGTTTATAACATGGCGATTGTGGGCGTTTAAAACGGATTTCATATGAGGCATACAGCTATAACTTAATTTTAATGTGTTTCTGTTAAACATTTTGTGCAACTTGTGATTTTTAGGGAAGTGCTTATCAATTAATGTTAAAAATATTTTTCCTATATTCGTGCTGACGTTTTTGCTAAAAGGCGGGTTGAACCAAACGATGTTACGTTTACGGTTCTTAGTGTGAGATAATATTAAGTTAGGTTGGTAAGAAAGATTGTAATTAAAACCGGACTTTTTTAATGCTTCATTATACATTGGAGTGGATTTTTGAAAGATTTCCTCGCTTGACGAATTTGCTGATAATCTTAATTCAATAAAATGTGGGAGTTCCTTTAAAATACTGGATGGGTGGTTTGATTCAGCATGAATGTAATTTAAAGAGTTTCCGGGTTTAGAGTAAGGTTGGTAGGTGCGGTTGTTGAGGTTTAATGTAATGTCCAGATAATTTACGATTTTTATGTTGCACTGTGTTAATATCAGAAGATCGTTCGATTTAAATATTTTAACAATATGTTTTTTAATTTTTCCATATGGGGACCACTGATATTTT